GCATTCTGGAAGGAATGATGGGGTACAATTGATGACAAGAGTCATCAGTTGTAGAATCAGGATGGTTTGGGTTGGAAAGGACCTTAAAGATCATCCAGTTCCAAGCCCTAATGAGAGAAGAGTTCAGATAACCACTTCAAGAACATTGTGAGTGAGTTCAGAATTAAATTCCACAATCCTAAAGATGCAAAAGGCCTTGAAATGGGCACAAAGAGCTGACACAATGTGAAAAGTCTTAATCTAAATGCCTGGGATCCATTATGCTCATTTTTGGAAAGAGAATTCAAAGATTATGACAGTAATACATCCTTTGAGAGGTGCACAAGCCTTGGCAGAGAATTATCTTCATCATCTTTGTATCATTCTGGAGCAATTCGGCAAAAAAACTTCCTAAAGGAGATGATCTCCTTCAATTTTTAATTACAGTCATGCAAAATTAAAAATCTTTTGCAAACACCTGTTTTATTGATGTGGACACACAAGTGTTCACCTGTTCATATCACATTAGTTTCCAGCAGCCCAAGTGTCAAATTTCAGTACAGCCCAAACTGTCTTGTCTAGTCCAAGGGGTCATAGACAACTGTTGTAAATAAATAAACATTCTTGTCAAAACAATTAGCCGTTTAAAACAATGATACTGTACAAAAATTAAAATTGAATTGCCGTATTTTTATAAACTACATAAAAAACATACTAGCAGATATTTTTCAAGTTAATATTGATCTTATGTAGTAAATGTTTTCTTAGCATATACAACAGTTTGTTTTAGGGCAGAAATTAACCTGCTCTAAAACAATTTAGCCATAAAACTTACCAAAACCTATTAAAAATCAAATTAGATAAACTTCTGTCAGTCTTAGACAGGCAAAAACTTTATTGTTTAGTTTGCTGCTCATTCATGGATTGAGTTAAAAGATGGTGACTGCTTATCCATGAGATTAGCAACATGCCATTTTCAGTGTATGTGCTTCTTGAATAATTGCAGAGATTCTAATACTGAAAAGAACAATTCTGAAAACACCACCAACTGCTAAGCTCCTGTCTGAAGAAATCATTAAATTAGTCTTTATTTTCTCCACACAAAGGAAAATAATTTTTATAAAAAATGCTTGTTATGCCTTATGCACAAGACTTGGAAGAATGCAAACCCATGACCTCCTGTATAATGGGAACTGAGCCACTGTGGGAAAGAGAACGGGGATATGCAGGTCTTCCATGACCTTATTAATTATTGGGAGATCTCTGTGTGCTGGATTTACAATTTGCTAATCTCACTCCTCACAAGCTCCATCAGCCTTTGCAGCAACTCAGGATTCACTTCTCCCCATGCTCCTCAAGAACATCTTGGCACAAAAACAGCTTTGGGATGATGCCTCACGGACAAGTTGTGTTTCCTCTCCTAACTTAATCTGCCCAGGACAACACCACTTTCCTGGATCATTTCTAAATTTTTCTGAAGTCCTCAACTTCAGCAGGACCAGAGAATGTTGTCAATGCTGACAGGACAAGAAGCTTTCCATAAGCTAAAAGGACACTTGAAGCAATAACTGATGGAGACTTCCAGACTTGGCACCCAGGGAATAATTAGCCAACAGAGAGAGAAATTGTTTTTCCTGAGACCAATGAAGATTTTATTGACCGGATATTTGTTATTCCTTGGTGGGTAACTGACAGGCTTGAGAAGAAAAAAGGCAACATTCTCTTTTTCTGCAGGTGACACCAAGTAACTCTACAGATAAATGGAGCATGTCAAGACAGTGAGCATTAAGAAACCAGAGACACCAGGACAGACTGCATGACCTCTGAGCAACCTGCTCCAACACTTGACTGTCCTCAAAGTGTAAAAGTGTTTCCTTATGTCCACTAACATTTCAATCACTGGCAATGAAGCTTAATTCAAGATTTCTCAAGTTACTGTCCTACATGCAGCCATTTCCCCTCACACTTCTTGCAGCTAGCCAATATTTGATTCCCCCAAAGACCTGCATGTTTATGTACTTTCTGTGAGCAATTCCATAAAACTCCTGGAGCCTGTGTTTGAAAGACATGGGTCTTAAGAAATTCACAGATAATTTTCATTCCCTAACAGCAGAGCAGTCAGACATCTACACAACTCACCCACTGAGACCCTGGGAGGTCATGTTCTGTTTGGTAACAATTAGTTTCAATGTTCATCAACAATTAGTTTCACTGTAATCACGAGTTTCAAGTTCCCTGATACAAATTCAGCAGTTAAACTTGTCTCACATGCACCAACGGACAACTTGAGCCTGCGCTCCTCTTTCCCAAGGCCGGAGAATGGCAAAGCTTCTTGGGAAAATGGAACTGGACAGCTCAGTCTTATAGTGGGCTATGAACTCTTCCATGCAAGAACAAATATGGTTTTCTTGGCAAAAAGCTTTCAACCAAACATGTGCAGGAAAGAGGACTGGAGTCATGGAGAGATTATTTTTAGCACTGCTTAAAACATTCACCTGTGGTTCCTTCAAAACTACAAACTGTTGGCCACAAAGAACCTTCCACTGGTTTAAGAGATGAAGTAATTCTTCAAGTAAAGTTGGACTTGATCATCTTGGAGGTGTTTTCCAACCTTAATGATTCTATGATACTGAATAGATGAGAATGGACAGTGTGCTTACAGACCAAGAGGTGACAATGATGACCCAGGTTGTGAAAGACCAAGAGCTGGGATGTTCATGGCTAAAGGTACTAGCACAAGGGTTACAGCCAAGTCCTGGAAGGGGCATGGCCAATGGAAGTCACACAAGGGTTACAGCCAAGTCCTGGAAGGGGCATGGCTAACAGAAGTCACTCAATGGTTACAGCCTGAGCACCCAAGAATTGGATGGTGCTGCCATCTTGACTCACTCTGGCCTGACATGGACAACTGAAATTAAGAGGAGCAGCAAGGACATCCTGCTTTAAACAAGGAGACAGACGGTGACGACAGCTCCTGGTTAGCTGCAAGTTTATTATTTAAGTGATGCCAAGACGCTCGTGGCGATGATGCTTGGACACTGCCCTGGGGGACAGGAAGCTGAAGGGCCCCGAGGCCGGAGGGGCAGCGCTGCCGGCCTGGGGCAGGGCAGCTCCTGTGGCTCGGTG